GGTGTCAGAAAGTAGCCGTGTTAAAGGGGCCATGACAGATGCAAAATTACGGACAAATCGGCGAAAGTATGAACATAAGCCGATAAAGCTCCGGAGTTCCTTAAGTGTCGATGGCTTCGGAAACTGGGCGACAGCACGGAGTTTTCCAGGATCAGGTAGAACGCCGTCCTTGCTGACAACATGCCCTAAGATGGTGAGCTTCCGGGCGGCAAAATGGCACTTTTTCAAATTTAGTTGGAGCCCAGCATGTGTAAGGCAATGCAGGACACTTGCGAGGCGCAGAAGATGGGTATCGAAGTCTTTTGAAAAAACGACGACGTCGTCCAAATAGCAAAGACACGTCTGCCATTTAAGGCCTCGAAGTATGTTGTCCATCAGACGCTCGAAGGTGGCTGGGGCGTTACAAAGGCCGAACGGCATCACGTTAAACTCGTACAAGCCGTCCGGAGTTACAAACGCAGTCTTGGCGCGGTCAGCTTCATCCATGGGTACCTGCCAGTATCCCGATCGAAGATCCAGCGAAGAAAAGAATTCTGCACCTTGCAAACAGTCGAGAGCGTCGTCAATTCTGGGGAGCGGATAAACATCTTTGCGCGTGATCTTGTTAAGGCGCCTGTAATCCACACAGAATCGGATGCCCCCGTCCTTCTTTTTGACCAGTACCACCGGGGAGGCCCACGGACTGTTAGACGGCTGTATAACGCCACGATTGAGCATATCAGACACTTGATCGTCTATAACTTGGCGTTCGGCGTGGGAGACCCGGTATGGACGCTGACGCAATGGTGCGTGGGTGCCAGTGTCAATACGATGGACAATTGCAGATGTTCGGCCCAGACTGGTTTGTTTGAAGTCGAACGATGAGCGGAAGTGGTCGAGAAGTGTCAAGAGTTGAGTTCGTTGGTCAACAGGAAGGTCAGGGTCAATCGATGGAAGGAAGACGTCGAGGGAAGAGGTGGCGGATGTGAGAGCGGAAGTAACACTGGCGATCTCAAGGCTTTTTGCTTGATAGGGCAGTTGACTGGTGCAAACACAATCGATGTCCTCAAGGCGGCCGATGCATTCGCCACGGAATAGGGTGACTGGTACAGAAAGGAGATTCGTGGCATAAATGTTTGCGCAAGTGGCTTCGACCGTCAGAAGAGCAAAAGGCAGAAGAACGTTTTTTTCGAGAAGTGAAGTCTTCTGACGGCGTGAACATGACGTCCGAAAAAGCGGCATGGTCGCACGAGATCGGCACAATAACAGAAGACATAGGTGGAATATCAGTCTCCGCGGCGACGACAACACGAGAAATAGAAGGCTTATTATAATCGTCGTCGGAGAGCGATGACAATTCTAGTTCGGCCCGGGCACAATCAACAACGGCATGATGTGTGGAAAGGAAGTCCCAGCCTAATATGACGTCGTGTGAGCAGTGCGGAAACACGATAAATTCAACCACGTACAGAACGCCCTGGATGATTAACCGAGCCGTGCACGTCATAGAAGGGTTCACGTGATGCGCTGTTGCCGTACGAAGGGAGAGACCAGAAAGCGGAATCGTAACTTTTCTTAACTTGCGACACAATGCTTCACTCAATACAGACACGGCAGCTCCGGTATCTATTAATGCTTGAACGGGGATACCTTCAATCAAGACAGTTATTTCATTATTCGGTAGAGAACGAGGCCTTGTGGAGTTCGACGGTGGCGCAGTTCTTGCCTCCGGAACTGCGATGGTCAGTTTTCCGTTTGGGCAGGTGGTGCACGCCGAAGCATTGGTGAAGGCGAACGTCGGCGCGGGGAAGGCGATCGGCGTGGGTTGAAGGCGCGGCGGCTCGGCGGAGAAGTGTCCGAAGCTGCATGGAACGGCAGCGTCTGTGGTGGTTCTGTGGGGGCGTAGCCGTAGGTGCCATCAATAATGCCTGAGTGAGGGACGCGCCGGCGACAGAACCGCTCAACATGGCCAGGCTGACGACAGTAATAACAGATAGGTCTGTTATCCGATGTACGCCAAGGGTTGTTGGGAAGCGTTGAAGGACGGCGGTAAATGGGAACATGCGAGCCTGCCGGTACGTGTGTTGCGTAGAAGGCGTTCGCTTGGTGGGCAGGGTCGACGACGTTTGACGGCGCATGTACCTGCCTTCGCGCGACGTCAGCGTAAGTCAGGGGAGCGGACACAGGTGGTGGCTGGTACGTGGGGGGAAGTGCCTCGCAGACTTGCTCTTCGATGGTTTGGCGCAGTGACGAGGTCAGCCCATGCGTATTGCTGGGAAGCAAGGGGGCAAGGGACAACTGGCGTGCCACTTCCTCTCGGATAAATTGCTGGATTTGCGGGGTCAATACAGTCTGTTCTGGAGATATTGCACCAACGGTCAATGCTGGCGTGCTGGTCATGTCGAAAGTAGGCCGTCGCGTTGAAATGCGCTGTTTTCGCAACTCATCGAAACTTTGGCAGTGTTGGATGACTTCCGAAACTGTTTGCGGGTCTTTAGCCACCAGCATGTGGAAGGCATCGTCCTCGATGCCCTTCATAATGTGTTTTACCTTGGCGGTTTCCGACATGTCAGGATCAAAGCGACGGCAGAGGCCTACGACGTCCTCAATGTAGGACGTGAAACCCTCTCCCGACAGTTGGGCGCGATCCCGCAAGCGCTGTTCTGCACGGAGCTTGCGCACTGTCGGTCGGCCAAACACGTCCGCGAAGGTGGTCTTGAAAGTGGCCCAGTCGGTAAGCTCGGCTTCGTGATTGTTGAGCCAGAGCTCTGCTACTCCTCTGAGGTAAAAGTGGACGCGGCCCAGTTTGTCGTTTTCGTCCCACCTGTTGTTGACGCTTACTCGTTCGAACGAAGAGAGCCAGTCCTCGACGTCCTGCTCATCGGTGCCGTTGAAGATGTCTGGATCTCGCTCTCTCGGGACGCCGGGACAGTGGACAGGTGGAGATGTAGGAGCCGTCTGCTGTGCAGCGTCGATGGACATTGTTGATGGCGAAGGTAGAGTTCGGTTGCGGAGTTCCAGGATGGAAAAAGGTACCCAGCACTCTCCACCACTTGATAGTACACCTTTAGTGGTGAGCAGAAGAGACGTTTACTTTGTGGAAAACGTAGCGGTAGAACCGACCAGCTGTCAAGCGGAGCGAGCGCGAGCAGCAACAACACTCTTCCTTCTCTTCTTCAGCTGGCGTTCCGGCCTGTGCCAAATATCAATGCTACAATATATATATATATATATATATATATATATATGATAGCGAGAAAGATACGCGGGTGGAAGTATGGGCACTTGCGTCTGATTGCGTCTTTTACTTCACTTGGTAACACCGACTAGAGACTCAAAAAAGCCGTTTGAGCCGGGTGAGGAAAAGCAAAGTGATAGTGAGAAGTTATGTGAGGATAAGGAGGAAGCATAGGAGGAGTGGAAGCTGTTGCATAGCGTAGCAGTGTATATTATAATGCACCAAGGTGGCGGGTAAAGGAAGTTAGGGTGAGGATGTATAACAAGGGGGAGATGACAGAGAGCAGGTGGGGGAGGGTAAATCGCCAGGCCGCGTATTATAAGTTGTAGCAAGACGGCGGAAAAGAAAAGGGGGTGAGGATGAGGGACTGGAGGGTAATAATTCTAATGGCCGTGTATTGTGCAGGATAACGAGGTGTTGTGAAGGGGACAGCACAGGAGGGTTTATGGGAGGAGGAGGGAAGAATGAAGGGGGAAAGCCGCGGCTGCATATGAAATGAACACTTCTTTTCTCTCCATATAAGCTGAGGAGGGCGCATTTTTGGAGCATCAGCGCTTGCTTCGCGAACCCCGGCGTCGCCGGAAAGCACGGGAAGCACTGCTCCGCGATTCCTACATATTTCGCGTCGAGTGTAACTGCGTACATTTTCACTTAAGATTGTTGGTTACTCTGTGGATACAAGCGCTAGGTTTCGTCATTATTCCGTGTTCTATTTTGTTTGCGGGGGGAAAAGAAACTGGGGCCTTTCATTCGCACGTATTTACGTACGACATTAGTGTCTCCGTATCGTGCCGACATCCTTTTGTGCAGAGAACATGCTTATCCGAATGTTATCCTCTTATATATTTATTCATGGGAGTGGTGCCATTTCAGGATTATTCTGGGGCCTTGGCTTTGAAGGCAAAAGTGCTCGGCGATTTCGCAGAGTTTACCTTGACTGAGGTCAGGTAGTCAATATAAAAGACATTAATGCCAGCTGCACTGACACCTCCGAGGTCAAACAATTTACTTTCTGAGAGTGGGTGAACGAGACCTTCGACCTGCCCCACCACGGTGATCAAGTGGATGAGGTACTCGGCTGCTGACCCGCAGGTCGCGGGATTGAATTGCGACTGCGGCGGCTGCATTTTCGATGGAGGCGGAAATGTTGTAGGCCCTTGTGCTCAGATTTGGGTGCACGTTAAAGAACCCCAGGTGGTCGAAGTTTCCAAAGCCCTCCACTACGGCGTCTCTCGTATTCATATGGTGGTTTTGGGACGTGAAACCCCACATATCAATCAATGAATACCTTCGACCTAATCACAGTTTAGACGCTATTTCAATCGACGCCCGGCTTTTAATCCCAACCAGCCCTGCTTAGCCCCTAATCGCAAGCGTGTGTCCATTCTCGCTTAATTTTATTTGGAATCTTTACCATGGGCACACATCAGGATGCATTCATTTCATTTTACTGCTTCAAAGACATTGTTTGGTATGTCACATGAAGGGATACAAAAGAAACATCACTTGTCATCGTATGCGTGGTTATTGCACTAAGATTAGCTAAACTCTCGACATCTAGGACGTGTCCGCACATAAATGTTTAAAACATCTTCTATATTGCGCCCGCAGCTGCATGTTGACGTGCTGTCGACCAACGCATCAGTGTTACAGGAATGACGTTTTTGCGTATGTATATTGATGTGCAATGCGAAAATTCTGGCAATAGTCGCATGCCATACGTCACAAGTGACATAGATCTTTTCTCTGACGGGCATTTTCTTTATTCTTTTCATTTTCATAGTGCCATGGAAAGATTACTTTCCAAAAAGCCGGAGCTTGTGGACTCCAAGAAAGAAGATGGTTACACTTGTTTGCATCTTGCGGCGGTCAACAATCACTACAGCATTGCGAAGCTCTTGCTGACAAAGGTGGGGCCACGATAAGTAATTTTTCTGCAAATTGCTATTCGCAAAAAAAAAAAAGACTATTGACAAGTTTCTTGCCAAGCAGTTAGACTTTACTCATACGTTTATGGGCGAGGCTGTGCCCTGCCGGGGCTTTCGCCAAGCACCGTTTCCCTTCGATTTCAAATTCAAACACAGTGTCGCCGAACAAACCTCAACGTTTGCACATGCAGATAACATGAATTGTCATCAAGATGAAATGAATTGTCATCTAGTGTTCACTGCTGGTTATGAAATTTGTGGCCCGTGTACCGAAACTTATGTGCACGTTAAAGAACTCCTTGGGGCAAAAATTTCCGACGTCCTCCACTGCGGCGTGTCTCATAATTATGTTGTGGTTTCGGAACGTGAAAAACCCTTCAATAATTCTTTACCATGTGTGCTAGTTTGTCTGGCGTGATATCCGATGACTCTGATTGCCGAGGGAACCAGCGCAAAAAGCAAGGAAGGAACAGAGAAGGAGAGTGACTGAAATCCTTGGCGATAAGAACTCTTTGGTTAGGCAGAATTACAACTTTGTATCCACGATCGGCCGGCGAGTCTCGTAACGACTAGGCAATCTAGGCACGCTAGGATTTGGCTAGGATAGCATAGCACAGTGTTGTATAGTGTAAGGAAGTGACGATGTGGGGAAGGTAATTGAGTGTGAAAAGAGATTTTAGGGTGAGGAGAAGATGAAAGAGAGAAAAACAGAGAAAGAGAATCAAAGAAAGAAGCAACGAATAGAAAGAGAACTCGGTAAATGCCGAGAACGAAAGAAAAGACATGGCCTCAGAGATGGCGGGCGCGCGGTGGGTTTTTCACCTGCCGTCCCAATCGCGCGGAGAGAGCGTGTTTCCAGAGGTGGGCGTGGCCTGCTCTTTCCTCCGCACCGCGGCGCTGCTTCGTATGGTCAAAAGGAGGGTGGAAGACAATCTGTTCTCACTGACGCAGTGCATCGAAATAGCAGAAAAGGAACACAGGCCCCTGTGGCTAGCATTTTTGGATATCAAGGGAGCGTACGATAGCGTGGTTCAAGAGGAATTGTGGGGAATACTGGACACACTAGGCGTGGAACATGTAGTCACTAATCTTTTAAAGGGTATCTACAAAGGTAACAAGGTAGTTATAAAGTGGGAAAAACAAGTATCCAAGCCTGCTGAGGTAAAACTGGGGCTTAGGCAGGGGTGCCCCCTGTCACCCTTATTATTCATGATGTACCTACAAGGATTAAAGGCAAAATTAGAGGGAAGTGGACTGGGCTTCAACCTCTCTTTAGTCAAACAAGGAAAACTTATTGATCAGGCACTACCAGCATAATGTACACAGATTATATAGTGCTAATGGCCAACAACAAGGAAGATTTGCAGAGATTGATGGACATCTGTGGTAATGAGGGAGATAGGTTAGATTTTAGATTCAGTCAGGAAAAATCAGCAGTCATGATTTTCAATGACAACGAAAGTAGCGAGCTTAGAATACAGGAGGTCACACTAGAGATAACAGATAAATACAAATATCTGGGCGTATGGATAAGCAATGGGACCGAGTATCTGAGGGAACACGAAATATACGTGACGACTAAAGGTAACAGGAATGCAGCAGTCATGAAAAATAGGGTATTGTGGAATTACAATAGGTATGATGTTGTGAGAGGAATATGAAAAGGGGTCATGGTTCCTGGGCTGACGTTCGGCAATGCGGTCTTGTGCATGAAATCAGAAGTTCAAGCAAGATTAGAAATTAAGCAACGTGGAAAGGTAGGCTTGCTTTAGGAGCTCACGGGAATACACCAAATCAGGGAGTACAAGGTGATATGGGATGGACATCATTTGAAGGCAGGGAAGCTAGCAGCAAGATAAAATTTGAGAAGCGATTGAGAGAAATGGGGGAAGAGCGTTGGGCTAGGAAGGTTTTCAGCTACTTGTACATGAAGAATGTCGAAACAAAATGGAGGAAGCGAACCAGGAAGTTGACTGGTAAATACTTAGAAAACAGCAGGTGGCCAAACCAAAAAGAACTATCGGTTAAGAAGAAAGTGAAGGAAACGGAGAATGACATGTGGAGAATGGGCATGATTAAGAAGTTCGCACTAGAGATCTATCGAACTTTTAAGCAGGAAATTTCCAAGGAAAGGATCTATGATAATACTCGGGGTAGTTCTCTACTGTTTGAGGCCAGGACGGGAGTACTGTGAACCAAGACATATCGGGCCAAATACGAAGGGGTAGACACAGTATGCAGTGCATGTGGAGAGGAAGAAGAAACTGCCGAACACTTGATAGTGTTCTGTAAGGGGCTTCACCCTATAGTTCAGGATGATGGCACAGAGTTTTTCAAAGCACTGGGGTTTAGGGACCGGGAGGACAAAATAAACTTTAAGCGGGTAAACTTAACTAGAAGGAGGTTATCTGATTGGTGGCTAAAGTCAAGGCACGAGTGAAAATTTAACTCTTCACTGCAAAGTACGAATCCTCAAACTCACTTTTCAAGGAAAAAAATAAATATAGTTTTTGGTTCATTAGGTATTACGGCTTGGTGGCGCTAGCCACCGCCCGATCTAAAGGGTACAGCCATATCCATCCATCCATCCATCCAAAAGGCTGCCGCGCCGTGGGTGACGCTTGCATGTGGCGAGAAAAAAAGGGGGGTTTGCGCTTTTACATAACTTCGCGCTCATTTGGGAATGTAGTGCCAAGACGTACGAGAGGAAAAGTCAATGCTTGGGCGTATACATTCTTAAGTGGGCTTTATTTGCTGTAGGTTTGTGCCGCCTATATTAAAGCACTTATAATTGCGATGCCTCTGCAAGAGATACGCACGTGCTGGAAACTTACTGTGCTTCAAAATTTGCAGTCTGTATAGTAAATAGAGGACACAGGCGAAGAAAAAAAATGACAACCCGATCAACAAGCAAGGTCAGAACAGTGCCGTGTTCTACGATCACAGGTTACACTCTAAAAAAGTGGTTGCTTTTTTTATCCTTTCAAAGATATAACGCTGATTTGTATTGTAACGCCATTTGAAGAATCCTACCGTCGAGCCGCAGAATTACGATACAGGTAGAATGGTGCGGGTGGTCGCCATGCGTTCAGACTATAGTCGCTGGTTACAGGCACGTTTTGGTCACCTATGGTCGCCCATTTGCACTGTCAACTTCACGGTGTTGAATGGATATGTAAGAACGAAAAACGAAATGATTTGCTTGTTCAAGAAGTAAGCAACATACGTTCAGAGTTTAATGAACCTGGTATGAAACATTGCAATATTACATAGCAGTGACAATTTGAACTTTTTTTTCATCAGTAGTCTACCTCGGCGAATACTCAATTTTCGTTAAAAAGACGCTGTTCTGCTACATGTGCGACCCTTTGATTTGAATGCAGTCGAGATTACAGTAAGTGGACATGAGACTAATATTGCCTTTGTGCTACCAAAACATGACAAAAATTCAGGTGGCGAAAAAGGAGACGATGTCAACTCAGGCACTTTCAATGTGAACAATGTGGGGAGGGAATGTAGATCGGTTAATTGAAGCCTTTGCAATATTCCGGCAAATTACTTCACATGTACCTCATTTGAATGAAATAACAAGGGCAGCGAGTTATCTAGAGGGTAACTGCACTTCGGTTGACCACCTCATAAACACCCGCACACAATATAATAGTAAAACTATTAATCAGGATAGGAGAGCAGTATAATAAACAACAATAATTAGTCCAGTTTTCTTCCATACAAGTCTCCAGAGGAAAGGAGGGGTGGATTGACGGTCACCAACCATACGCAAGCACAGACAGACGGACAGAAGCACCAGCTCACGGACGGACAAACTGATGAACCATAGAGTTCCCTAAATTAACTAGAAGGGACTCTGGCACTGCGATCGTTCAGCGGCTATGGGAATAATGGGTGGTACACATGTTTGGCTAGTCTTCATACTTGCGGTCGACGAATCCTACTTCTGGCTTTCTTTATTGCCGTGTTTCGGTTTTGTTTCAAAGGAAAAAACGAACCCCTTTGAATTTCGTGACCCGATTTGAAAAACTAAGCCTAAAAGAATAAGGTGGTTAAGTGCAATCGCTGAACATTTGCTTATTTTTGTTTTCTGAGAAAACAGCTCCATGCCGCACGAACACACACGGTGTCATAAGTACGCATATTAGACAAATCCATGTTACCCATCATTCTCAGGCTCTCTGAAGCGCCGTGCGTTGTAGCCCCCATAGACGCCAGTGCCAGAGTTCCCTGTAGTGAAATTTAGGAAACTCTATGGGATGGACGCATGGACAGGCGGACAGAAGCATGAACCAGGGATGGACGGACACACGTACGGAAGGAAGCACGGACGGGTGGGCGCGGACAGATGAACAGAAGCACGGATGCATGGACGAATGGATGGACAAAAACACTGACGCACTGAAGCACAGACGAATGGATTAATGAACGCACGGACGAATGGACACACGGAAGGACGGATGGACGGATGCTTCACCCCATTCATCATTCACTTGGTAGATATGCTGTGAAAACCACTAATTCTATCTAGTTACTCTATCCCCAAGGACATATACACACATCATCTATTGAGCAACTCATAAACTAGAGGTGGCTACATACTGCTACTACTACGACTACAGAGATGGGCACGAACCGCGGCCTAAGGAGCTTTTCCCTTCAAAAATTCTGGGTCAGAGTGGGGACCGCACCAGGATTGTTTGGATTCGAGTGGGAATCGAATACGGGTCGTTTGCGTGGTAAGCGGATGTTCTACTGCAGGGCAACGCATATGCTTGTGAATACAGTGAAAAGAACTTACTCTGCTCATAAATGCAATGAATGCATCTTTCACACTTTACAAAAAAAATGCATGTCATATTGGAGTAATAACACGTGCTACAAGCGCCCATTACCAGTGGGCGTCAGAAAATGACTATCATAATGACTCCATTGTTTAACCTAAAGCTAGTCACCCACTACAGAAGGCACACATGTTACTGCGCTTAAAAGGCCGCGTTTGCGGAGCACAGCAAGTTAGAAAAGGTTTCATTCACGAAGTGTTTGAAGTATGCATTAGCAACAGGATATCGCTACGGCATTAATTCTACTCCTAAAAGGGAAGTTTTAGGATTCCCATACGGTTTTCTCTACTGTACCTTTAAACCACTTCACTGTTAGAAACCTTGTATTTGCGGATCCCAAGTTTGGATGACACCCAAAAGAACAGCGTCCAAGCTGGGGTGAATTTCCTGCCTGCGTTTTTTAGGGCCGTTGTATGGTTGACCTCAAGAACGTCAAAGGAGAAACAGCTCTGCTCTTAGCTGTGCACAACGGGCACTGTGAATTGGCTGAGCTGCTTGTTGAAGCCGGCGCGGACATCAACAAACCAGACGAGGATGGTAACACTCCAATGCACATGATCTTGCTCAGACTACAAAAAATCAAGGTACGTTCCATCGGTTCTTCCAAAGCACCAGTTTAAGGGAAGGTAGTTTGAAATACCTAAGTTATCAAATAGAATCAATTTTTATTTTCTACCCTGTAAACCTACATATAGAAGACTACGGGAAAAAAAGCTGCCGAAAGGCGGGTTGATTAGTTCGTAGCCCAAAATAAACCATGACATGTGGGCAGCAGCAAAGAAAAACAGTTCACAAACGAAAAGATCAAAACATATGATTAGTGCAGAATGAAAATGTACAACAGCCTGGAAAAAATATACAAAAATACAACGCCAGGATAAATGAAGTTAGTTATACAAACATAGATCTATGTGCAGCTGAGAAACAACAAAAGAAATCAAATTGAACAACTGAAAATGGTTTAACAATGATGGTAAAGAATAACATAAACGCTCTATGCGAGTATTCAAACGGGGCGTGGCAACTTTAAATGTTCTCTATGTCTCGTTTTATAGTAGCGGTGATTTGTTTCCAAATGTACTAGGATGTCTAGATTATGTATGTTATGTCTTACTGAGTTATATATAAAATATACGCGTATAACCGGAAACCTAACCAAATGAAACCGTGTCGACAAGCAAATCAACTCAGGAGTGAAGGTAAAAAAAAAACCTGGAGGCACCAAAGCAAAAGTTTGAAAAGAATAAAACACAGAAAAAAAAGATGTTTCGGCTCCCACAAGGCAGCCTTGTTCAGAGTAAAATTTATTGTGAACAAGGCTCAGATTAATTCATTACTGAGAATTGGGAACATCTGGACGTGGCGCCACCTCTCGACAGCAGGAACGGCGGCCTGTCAAAACTGAATGGGCAATGGGTGAGAAAAATTGAATCTCTTGAAAAAAAGACTTTGTTATGAAAAACAACTCCGCGTTATGTAAAGCAGGCACGAACTGGTACACTGTGGTAAAACTAAGTATAGCACTACAAAGCGTGTGGTTTCTCAGGACAATTGAACACCGCCCATGGAAACGCATCGGATCTCAGTGCTGTGGGAAGCCACACGGTTGCTAGTGCGGTACTGCAACTTCGCCAGACTGTTCAACTAAGTCTCTGCTGTAGAGAACCGGGAGTGGTTTTTGATAATCAAATACGATTTTTTTTTGCCTATTTCTTATTTAGTTGCGGCAGACCACCACTGTGACCGATGACAGATCGTGCTACGAACAGAGGCCCCCCCGCCCCCCCAATCTTGGTTATGTGACACTGCTATTGCGTTCCTTGTTATTTTCATTTCCTGTTTTGGTAAACTTTTATGCCATAATAGGTACAAACATAAAATTTTAGTCTAGTCTAGTGGACAAAGTTTTGAGTAGTTTTGTGGCAATGTAGGTGGTATGAAGCCACTCGTTACACCCCTAAATTATCCGCCCAACGACTCGATTCATGGCATTGGTGATTGCATATCATAAAGTAATTCGATTAATATAATTTCATTACTGCCAAGTCAGGCCTCCACAGCTACGTCGTAGTGGGTGAAACAGAGGCGCAATAGTTAGATAAAGATTCAAGAAAATTTATGGAATATAGGCTGCCTCTCTTGGCTAGGTGCCCTGCCGTGGCGGTCTAGTGGCTAAGGTACTCGGCTGCTGACCCGTGAGTCGCGGGGTCAAATCCCGGCTGCGGCGGCTGCATTTCCGATGGAGGCAAAAATGCTGTAGGCCTGTGTGCTCAGAATCGGGTGCACGGTAAATGACCCCAGGTGGTCGAAATTTCCCGAGCCCTCCACTACGATGTCTCTCACAATCATATGGTGGTTTTGGGACGTTAAACCTCACGCATCAATCAATCAATCAATCAATCAATCAATCAATCAATCAATCAATATCTTGGTGAGATATAACTTTTGGTGAAGCTGTGCTTGATATAGCCGCTTGCATCTTGCCCATGGCGACGCCTTATTTTAAAAGCAAGCTTTGCAAGCCAGCAATTGCGTGTGTTCTTGTGTTTTGGCAGATCGTGAGTGATGTTACAAGCTCAGAGACCAACCTATCGTTGGCCTGCTTTCTGGCCAACAAGGGCGGCGACCTCTACAAGAAAAACAAGGCTGGGAAAACGCCCTTGGATGTGGCTGGGGGCACTAAATTCGTTGAGTGGCTCCTAAGATCGAAGATGGCACCAAGGTAACTTCTAGTTGAACAGCACAATTCTGGTCTGCAATCCTTTACGCTGATGACGAGGCGTACTCTTTTCAGAAGACGTATAAATGAGTGCAAACGCTGGGACATCATGCTTAGACTGAATGCTTCAAAAATTCGCGCACGAACAGACAAAGCTTTTGGTACCCGGTAAAGATCCCATGATTCTCTATATTTTTGGAACATTTGATTACGGTGGGGCTCATTATATCAAAATCGTGTCACGTAAGAACTCTGATATTCTTTTATAAATAATAAATGCTAACTAATCTTTGCGAACAGCAGGAACTTTTAATCTATCTATCTATCTATCTATCTATCTATCTATCTATCTATCTATCTATCTATCTATCTATCTATCTATCTATCTATCTATCTATCTATCTATCTATCTATCTATCTATCTATCTATCTATCTATCTATCTATCTATCTATCTATCTATCTATCTATCTATCTATCTATCTATCTATCTATCTATCTATCTATCTATCTATCTATCTATCTATCTATCTATCTATCTATCTATCTATCTATCTATCTATCTATCTATCTATCTATCTATCTATCTATCTATCTATCTATCTATCTATCTATCTATCTATCTATCTATCTATCTATCTATCTATCTATCTATCTATCTGCCTGCCTGCCTGCCTGCCTGCCTGCCTGCCTGCCTGCCTGCCTGCCTGCCTGCCTGCCTGCCTGCCTGCCTGCCTGCGACTTTTAGCTCTCCTGGGTTCAATAATGGTATCGATACCAAAATTGGTATGGCATGACATGACTGTATGGCGAGAATAAGTGACAAGTCATAAAATGATAATCATGACATGTATATCATGAATGTTATAGTCTTGCTGCTGTTGCGGTGGTTTCCTTCCCATGAAATGTTGAAAAACTGGCTTTGTATGACACGACTGCATGGCGAACACAAATTACAGCTAGAGCCTAACATGGAAATCTTGACAGGTATGTCGTGTAAGTCATGAGTCATGACTACAGGCCACGCTCATGCTGCGCTCGCGGCCTTTTCGCTAGCTTCACATGTGCCAATTTTCGTATTACACGACGTGAATGAATGACGAAGGTATGTGACAGGAGCAAACATGATAATCATGAGATGCGTGTTATGTAATAAGATGACTACATGCTACGCTCATGATGCACTCGCATGCGTTTCGCTAGCTTCACATGTACGAAATTTGGTATTACCTGACGCAAACGGACGACATAGGTAAATGACACGTCCGAACATAATGATCATGAGATGCGTGTCATGTAATAACATGACTACATGCCACACTTACGATGCGCTCGCGGCCGTTTCGCTTGCTTGACACTTGCCGAATTTGGTATTACGTTACGTGAAGGGATGACGAAGGTATGTGACTGGCAGAAGGATGATAATCATGAGATGCGTGTCATGTGAGGACATGGCTACATGCCACAGTCAAGGCGCCAATACACTTCGACGTGACCCGGTGCGCGTGCGCACCGGCCTTCGTTACGTTACGTCACGCTGGCGGTGCCACACTATAGGCGCAGATTTTCGACGCATGCGCGTTTGAGCGTGCCCGGCGTCCCTCCGTCACAAAGAGAGCAAGACGCAGCGCAGCATGTCGCATTTCGCGCCGGTTGCCACCGGGCCACGCCGACAACCGCCGGTCGCGCCTGGCGTCAGACTATAGAGTGCTCGCGTTTTGCTAGCGTAGCGTCGTTGCACTTAGCTTGCGCGCGCGTCAACGTTACGCCGGACTTTATTGGGCCCATCATGATGCGCTCGCGCCCGTTTCGCTGCCTCCACATATACCAAATTTGGTGTTACGTGACGTCAATAGATGACCAAGGTATATGATTGGTACAAACATGATAATCATGTCACGCGTGTCATTTAAGAATATGACAACATACCACGCTCATGATGCGCTGGCGGCCCTTTCGATAGCTTCACATATACCAAATTTTTCATCACAGGGCGTGAATAGACGACGAAGATAAATGACATGTACAAACATGATAATCATGACATAGAAGCCATGTACGGCATAATTTACATCTGCCTCGTAACATTGTGCCACTTTTAAAGTGACATATCAACCTTCCTCACTCATGCTTCGCATATTATCAATTCCCACTGTACGGGGATCTGCCATTCTTTTTTTTTTTCATCTTAGCAGTCAACATTTCAGAACTTGTGTAAAAATTTTCCATTAAATATGTGCTGCGGTATTAATGATAAAAGCAGCGCGTCAGGCTGTTTTCTAAGGGACTACCTAAACGTGTGAAGGTACATCTAATGTAGACTGAAGACGCCGTAAAACAATTATTTTTGCTTCTTGGGCGCCCGTGGTATAAAGGGCACAGCTTTTGTCGAGCTTTGAAATACGCGCTCTAAAAGCACAGCGTCTTTTTCTTGCAAATATGGCAAGTTCGGCCAGTCGATAAGCATTGCTCGCAGGTTGTGAATGAAACACGCACAGACTCCGAAAGTATCTTCACTACACCACATATCTGTTTCAATGCATCTCCGTAACTAGTAGGACAACGAAGCCACATTGAACAAAAGGGATATTAGTTTTGAAAGCAGGCCCAGTATACTCTGCATACCATACTTCACATTTTAGAGGCCCGTCACGAAGCACTGCCTTGTATTTTCAGGGCAAAGGCGACATCGAGCTCTGAGCAATCGAGTGGCGGAGCGACTGCAAGTGCGGCGTCGGAAGATGGCAAGTGCAAAATGTGCTGTGACGCTCCTGCTAGCGTGTGGTTCGAACCGTGCGGCCACAGGCTGTACTGCCCGGATTGTTGCCGGCGCATGAAGTGCTGTCTCTCCTGCGGCGAGCGCATCACGGGGAAGGTCTCGGACGGTGAGCGGAGCTCGGCGTCATTTTGTTTTGTTGTTCGTCTCTTTTGCTCGCGTAGACCGCTTGCTGTACGCTGCAGTGAACTACTGGCTTTGGTGAGGTGCCACTCACACACAAAAAAAAAAGAAGAAAGGAAAGAAAAGAGCTGACATTGTTTCATTGTGCCAAGCTTGGAATGCGAAAGCCAACATGTGCGCTGTGCATGAGCGCAGTGTTGAGCCAGCAGCCTAAAAAGTTCTCTTTTCAGTCACAATAGGCTTCGATATGGAAGCGTACCGTATTTTTTTTTTGTTGTCAGTGGTGATTACAATGAGTAAACTCTCAACAAATCACTATGAATAAAGGCACGGGCACAGACACGTCGTGTCACACCAGGCCCATGCCACCTCCCTCCCTCCCCTTCCCCCAGAAAAAAAAAAACTGTTTTCGCCGTGGCATACAGAACGAAAAACGACCATCTCAACGCCCCCCCCCCCCCCCCCCCGTTATGAGGTAGCTCCATCTGAAAAAAAATTCTGGCTAAGCCCCTAACTAAAGGTATATTGCATTAACGAAGCACAGTCCCATAAGTCACTTTGTCACTTCGCATAAAGCAGAACAAAATTAAGTAATTCCATGGGGCCACGTTTGAAATGAAGCTACACAAGTGGCACTGTTTGATAGGAGCATATTTTGTCCATCAATAATACCTCGATTATTTTTGCTTCTTCCAGCAGGTGTTTTACATCTGATCGTCTTCAACCCATACAACCATTCTCAGTTGTATTTTTTGTAGCTGTAGAGACTGGTGCATAGGGCATCAGCATTTGTTAAATACATATTTGAAAACTTGGTCGGCTAGGTAGCTTTTTACCCTATCTTCTAAAGATGTTTCAATTTCGACCATCAAAATACAGTAGTCTGCAGTTTGGGAAAAAGAGGGTTACGGGGAAGTGTTATGACATGACGCAGTATACACAAGACGAGCACAGGAATTGACTTTAATAAAAAACAATCCACGCATCACCACGCAGTGAATCATGATGAGTGGGCGAAGCACTGGGGAGCTTTATCACCCGCCCACATGCGCATGTAAATGAATGACAGCGCTTGTGCCCGGTATACATGCAGTGTTTTTATTGGTCATAACCCGTATGTTGGGTTGAGTTCTGCATACAGTTTTGCCTTTATTATTACCGCTTTGGGGTACGTGAAATACAGAGCCAATGGTTGGCAAAGACGAGATCTATGACTGTTTTGTTTATAGTTAGGCATTTCCGGAGGGATGGGTCAGCCACAGCACAAAGCGCACATAATGTCTTAGTGATGTGTAGCGGGTACCTCGCTTATTAGCAGAATGGCAATTGGCATAGTGGCTTAGTGGTTGGTAGTCCACTTTCCGAAAGTTACAGTAAGTGCCTTGCATGTGTTGTGTCATGAGGGACATACGGTTGGAGTATAAAGGGTATATCGAATGTGCTGTGGCGGACAACGCACGAGCTTACACGCTAGGGTGCTCGCCCTCAAAACGTTCTGCTTAAGTAGCTTTATACATGTTTTAGGTACACAATGATGACAAGGTATGATGTAAACGGGATGTGCGTATAATAATGGGCACACAGGCTTCTTCTAATTCCCCCGAAATCTATGTACATGACGTTTTTCTCTATTTCTATCGCTACGTCTCCACCCAGATATGGCCACCATAGCCGGTAATCAAACCCATGTCCCAACCCGCCACGGTTGTCTAGTGAATGAGGCATTCAGCTACGAGCCTACAGGCCACGTGATCGAATCCAGGCTGCATCTGCAGCCTTTTCGATCGAGGCGAAAATGCTTTAGGCCCGTTTTCTTAAATAAGGTGCACGTTAAAGAGCACCAGGTGGTCAACCCTCCAGTACGCGGTCTCTCGTAATCATACGGCGGTTTGGGGATGTTAAACATAAGCAAATAATATTATTATTATACCCATGTATTCAACCCACACTATATATGGCTTGCAAAAATAAAACATCGCTGTATAAGGTTCTTCGTTTATCCTTAGTCATCATGCTCTCCTCCTTCATGTGGTAGAAAAAAGCTGTATAATGGCGATATTTCGTTGATTGTAAACGGTACAATAATATCACTAGAAATATGTGGTTATTGCTGAGTCTGATGTGTAACAACCCACTTTTCAGCTCGTTCAGTCATTTCTTAGCTTGTAGTCGCACTTCGCCCGTCAATTTCATTTGCTCCAACAGCCGGGCTTGTTAAGAGTCGTATATTTTGCTGGCGGCGTTCTCGCTTTTGAGAAACCCAGCATTGGCAGTGAAACAAATATACTAATGCGGCCCTCGAGGGTACGACGGCAACATGCGCCCATTAAAGGCGATAGTGTTAAAGAGCTCGTCCTGGAGTAACCCGATGTCGGCGGCGTCAGCCTTTTTGGTTGTGAGTGAAAAAACATCCGCTGACCTTGAGCAAAAATACCAGGTGGATGCAAATAAAAAAAAACACAATCTTTGGTACGAGTGTGGTGGAAAATATGTAGTTACAACAACTCGCGCCATGGCGCGACATCTTTAGCCGCTGAAGCACCGTGAATGTATCCTCCAGCACCACGCCCCCCTGGATCGGCTGCGCGCGCCCCATATCCAGGTGGCCGTACTATTTATACACACTAATGAGTACGAGCAAGTTATATACACCTTTAGCGTCTTGATAGCAACGCCGTGGTGGTCTAGTGGCTAAGGTACTCGGCTGCTGACCCACAGGTCGCGGGTTCAAATCCCGGCTGCGGCGGCTGCATTTCCGATGGAGGCGGAAATGTTGTAGGCCCTTGTGCTCAGATTTGGGTGCACGTTAAAGAACCCCAGGTGGTCCAAATTCCCGGAGCCCTCCACTACGGCGTCTCTCCTAATCATATCGTGGTTTCGGGACGTTAAACCCCATATATCAATCAAATCAATCAGCGTCTTGATAGCAAACCCACGAGATGGCGCCAAGGTCCCACGTCCCCCTGGTTGGGTCTTCGGTCTTTTGGTTGCTCCGCGTGTATTTGTATAGAAGACGTCATGCGTCCACACTGTGGTCTTCTTTTAGGTGAATTGTGGATGTCCACCTAGAAGCGAAGGAGGCTATAGTGGTTGGGAAAGCCATGCGCCCGCGGTTCGATTACACTTTCGTGTTCTCTGCACTTGTAAGTGAAGCTCAATCTTTGTTGTAGTATTTCAGTGAGCTTATTTCATTAGACTCACTGTACACTAATTCGCTTACTTTGTCTTTGTTCTCTTCGTTATTTGTTTGTCCGCAGGGGAAAGACCCGCAGACAACGAATCCCAGCAGCGGGAACTAGAAGCCAGGCTGAGGAGGCTGGAGGAAGCCCACACTTGCATCATCTGCATGGAACGAGAGCGCAACGTGGCCTTCATGTGCGGCCACGTCGCTTGCGACAGATGCGCTGCCAACCTCAGCGACTGCCACATTTGCCGAAACCCAATCGACAAGAGGATTACCCTGTTTTAGATAAACGAGAAGCAGAACAACACACCATCGAAAACCGTGCTCTGTTCTTGTGATGTCCGGATAACGGGCAAAACACAATACGCGAACTTTTTTTCTATAGACCTTTGTGAGAATTAACTGCCGCAATTGTATCCTGGATATAGAAACTCGCAGTGCAGTAATCGTTGCGAATTTTCATCGTGCTCACGCAAACTTCAACGTCAAGCTGGTGTAATCGACAGCACCAAGTATTAGTCGGTGCTTTTCGATCTCTTTCAATGGGGCTTTGTGGCTTTTTTATACAACCTAAACAATTTTGGGCAAGCGCCAGTCAAATGCCCATTTTCGTGCAACGTGTGTTTGGTCTAACTTGGCTGGCCACGAATGACATTGGACGTGCTTTAAGTTAAACATGTTATTTTTGTGTCTCTGAGATAAAATATATTTTTTTGTGAAACTGGAATATTTTGCTTGTTACGCCATGAGTATTACTCATCTTGAGCTTCATTTAAATACAGCTTTTTTTTGGTTTTAATGTTGTCTCTGTTTTCATTATAAGCTACATTTAAATGGGCAGGCTAGACCATTTAAACGTGGCTTTATTTGATTTTTTCGCTATTAATTTCCCATTCGAAAAAGCAAGTGCGTATGGTATAGATTTGCTTGAGATCAAATAATATTTTTCGTTGACTGCTGAGCTCTCTCCGTGACCTGACTTGTCGTGTTACATACCAGGTTCGGATATAGCCGCATACGTTTGGTTCATACAAAAATCACAGCATAACCACGGAGTGCACGATGATGAGTGGGACGAAGCTTACGTCAGTGCATTCGCACTTCCGTCCGTCCATACGTCCATCCGCGCACCTGCCGGTCTGTCCGTCCGTGTCTGCGTCTGTCTATCCATGCGTTCATCTAGTGAAGATTCTAAGAACTTCCATCACGCATCCTGTCATCACATATTCATCGTATAGAGCGGCACACGCGCACTCTCTTACGGCCTGCGCTTCGTGCCTAGTTCCCACCTTTCACCGCCACTAGTTCATGGCACTCGCTAAACCCAACCTCGCTAAATCTTGCTAAAACGAAGTAGGCTACGCCCAGCCAGTCTAACGTGGCAATCTTTTCTGGTCAGATAGTGCTCAAAGTGCGTCCTTCTGTTACTAGCTTCAATTTCATGGCAAATTTTATTGGAGCTTAAGTCACCGAAACTTGTCGCTCTAGGTCATTTCGTCATAAAAAATTATCTTTTAAATGTGAAGCATTTCATAGCAAACTTCGGCGACTTAGAGCGTATCTATCTATCTATCTATCTATCTATCTATCTATCTATCTATCTATCTATCTATCTATCTATCTATCTATCCAACCGCTTATGTTTGGGTGCTCTCCTGGTCACACCCTTAACATGGCGTTAACCAAAATTAGCGTGGGAGGGTATGATGGTTTGACAAATATGACGCGCTGGTCAAGACATGAATAACGTCACAATCCCATCGCGTACGTAATCAAACACTTTCCGCCAGAAAGTGGCACATACCCACGGGTGGGTATGTGCCGGTGGAATGCGGTATGTGCCACAGGGGATTGACACTTAGTATCTACTCAGGAACGACGAGAACACACACGGGCAATTTTAACGCGTGAGCGTTAAGCAATACCTGACATAGGTACCGTCGACCCAACGAAAGAATAGAATAAATGTCAGCATGAAGAAAAACCTGATACAGGTAACGTTGACCTCCCGACGAATGCTAACAATATAAGTCAGGGTCCCAGCAGGAATCGAACCCAAGCACCAAGCATTCTGCGTGGCAGTCAAGCATTCTACCACAAAGCTACGCCAGGTCGCAGAACTACTTTTCAAATAGACGCTAATATTCGTGAACCGTCAATAGTGTTTGCTGTGCTGCCTACCCAATTTCGCAAACATTACACATGTACTACTTTGACACAGCCATCACATTGCGTTGACGTCAATTGTGGTTAGGTGCCATGCGCTGAAGTTGATTTATGTAGCAGTGTCCAGGGCCAGCATTTTCACGAGCATCATCGCTTCATATCAGCTGTTCGTGTTGCTAATACTCATGTTCCAGTTGACATCTTTGCGCAAGTGTCAACAACTGGTTCTATAGACATCTGCAACCCTTCAACATTTGTCATATATTTAGCGTCATTTCATGACGGGCCGCTCAATAAAAAAAAATGGCAACACGGTCACTTTCCCTCCGCAAGCTTCGCATGACGTCGATTCACAGGTACGTGGGATCTTACGAATTTTTTTATTTATGATTAACCTTCGCGGGTTTCCTCCTCAATTCGAAAGAGTGCGCGCGTGCCGCTCTTTTAGTCCGGCCATGGAGGGGGCTTCCTACTACTGCTACTACTACTACTACTACTACTACTACTACTACTACTACTACTACTACTACTACTACTACATGCATCACGGACGCACGACGCACGGCTTAAGAAGCTTCGCCCCTAAAACACTTCTTCAATGGCAAGCCTCTTGCGTGGAGAGCATTCTTTCTATAGGAGGCAAGCCAATTTTTCTCACTGTCAGGTGCTCCTACACCCTTTGCAGATGGTCGCTTTCAGTTGCTCGGTCTGAGTGTAGGTTGTTTGGTTGTTTAGTATGAAACCACTACTAAAACGATTTAGATAATACAAAACTAGTAGCCAAATACGAAAAACTTTAGACATATGCATGAATTCCGTGATATCGTATAGCTGGAACCTGAAGGACAAGCGGCGAAATGCAGAACAGAGTGTGAAATAATTGTAAAGGAAACTAATGTAACTGTTTGAGTAAAAGCTTGAGAAGTATTTAGTTGGAGTGGCTAATTTTATGCCTGTTGTCTACATGGCGCCTCGGTTTTTTTTCTTGGAAACTAGAGAATTTTATTAAAGGTCATATCGCAATCGGGAATCTCACGTTGCCCCGCCGCGGTGGTCTAGTGGCTAAGGTACTCGGCTGCTGACCCGCAGGGCGCGGGTTCGAATCCCGGCTGCGGCGGCTGCATTTCCGATGGAGGCGGAAATGTCGTAGGCCCGTGTGCTCAGATTTGGGTGGACGTTAAAGAACCCTAGGTGGTCTAAATTTCCGGAGCCCTCCACTACGGCGTCTTTCATAATCATATAGTGGTTTTGGGACGTTAAACCCCAGATATCAATCAAATCAATCAATCTCACGTTTTCACACATGAACTCTACGTCTAGGCACCCCATTGGAAGTACACCTTTACGAAACACCATTGGGGTGACTGAAATGTTGTTAGGTTCAAGTTAATGTGGGTAAAGATGTGCACGGGGCGAGAAATAAGCTTAATCTTTAACTGCCACTGAGAATCGGCAGCTAAACAAGATGGCTGAGCTGCCTTCCACGGAAGCGCTTAGCGCACTGTCGTCTTCATCATCTTCGGAAAGTTCCACGCTTGCTCATGTCAATGGTGCAACGTAACAAAATATTGCTCACATTGGATACTTATCTGGCCATACTCGCACTGATTGTTTCGATAATAATTGACTCATATGTGCAAGCTGCAGAAGGTGGCCAATCACCTGTCTCTGAATATAGAGGCTCATAGGGCAGTTGCCATTTTTAAGTGTTTATTTTCTTTGCAAACTTTCCCGTTATGTTGGTTTAATCAAATTAATTATTGTTTGACGTCTTTTGATTTCTTGTAATATGGCATTGTTGGAATTACCATCGACATGCTGGTTAACGTACATGCTGGTTGAATGACCATTTTTGTGTAAGTTGTGCTTTGCCCAACATGGCGGGCTACGAATGATGTTGGGCGTGTTATGTTTACGTTACACCATTTCGTTTTGTCTCTCTGAAAAAAAAAGCTTTATTTTTCAACGCTAGAATATTCTTCTTATTAACAGCACGTGTATACACATCAGTTAACACTAGATATCGTTTGTATTAGATGTCACGATTTACTTTTTTTTTGTAGCGTTAGCTACACTGGCCTCGCTGAGCCAATTTCGCATGGCACTGGTCTGCGCATGCGCAATGATACTCCGCCGCCGCCGCACGCGGCTTGCCGTCGGTGTGCGCGCAATTCGATGCGCTGCGCAGACGATCAGTGGTGTCACGCACCGGAGCCGATACCTCGCGGCCGCGCGCGACTCGCCGCCGCCGGTGTGCGCTTTCCAGGGGAGTGCCGTCATAGCCTTGGTATTTAAAGCTTCACTTCAACGGACACGATGCGCTATTGCAAACCTATAGCTTCAATTTTGTTGTTGCGTTCCTACTCAGAAAAGATATTGCATAATATGTAGGTTGAGTATTAAATGAATGTTTTATTAAGTGCCGGATTCTCCTTGGCCTGACTTGTCTAGTTACGAGCCTGTGGAGCGCTCTCGCGTAGATATGTTTTGTTCACAAAAACACTCCTTCATTGGCAAGTGATTGGTGAAAATGGCATTATTTTTATAAGAAAGGCAATATTACTTATTTGCAGGTACTGGTCCACCAGCGGTAGACTGTAAATACCACTCGCTGTTAGTGTAGGTTGGTTTGTTGGTTGGTTGGTTGGTTAGGACAATATAGATAATATCGAAGCAGGTGAACGGACTTTGGTGTATCATACACTTGAAGGATTACGCACAAGCAAGAGCACCTGCAACTAAATGCAAAAACATGCGTGGAGTATTCAATTGTGTGGAAAAGAATAATTTAGCAGTTTCAATTAAGGTGTTCAAGGCGTCTGTGGTATTTGGTTAAGTTACTGCTATTTTAACGGCAGATTTTCAATAAATACTTCATGGCATTCGAGCTCTTGTCGATTTTGCACCCTTGCCTCAAAATGTATGCCTTATATATTCCATAAAACCGCATTTAGTAGCTCGAGGTGTATATATAGAAAGCGATCTTTACGGCAATACGGTGGGAATAGTGAAATCGTGTCGTTAGATTCTAATGTAGCATAAAATGAGCAACAAATAATTCCTTAATTTCCCCTAAATGACACAATATTTGGGGATTTCATCTGAAAAATCGCGATTTGAAGGCACGCCATAGTGAGGGGGCTCTGGAATAATTTCGGCAGCTTGGAAATTCTTGAATTGCATCGAAGTTCAAACACTATGCATGATGTTTTTTTGTTTTGTTTTGCTTTCCATCTGCATCGAAAGTGTCCTTAAGACATGTGATAGTTTGTGGCAGAAGCGTTGATTCGCGACAGGCGTCAAAACACGTTGATTTCGCGGTGACTGGGTGTTCTAAAGGCTCACTAACTACTTAGCGCTCAGACACATTTAATCCTGATCAGCAGCAAAAACCATGAACAAAGTGAACAGCTGCGTCGGTTTGCCTGTTGCATTGCAGACATGTAGTGGGCCCTTCACTGGTTTGCAAAAAGAATAATTGTGGCGTAGTGGGAACTTAACAGTTTCATTTCCAAGAGGCATTCTAGAAGACCTTGAAACGGGTATAGTCGTTGATTTCCCTACGGCGCGGCTGCGGCGCGCATCGAGAACCGATGCGAAAGGTGACGCGCTATGAGTCTACTCATGAAGG